TAAAACTTTACTTCATAGAGTATACAATAGATATCTGGTTAGACCTAGTTAATTATTTCACCAAAAATGGGTGGTTCCTCTATCAACATTCCTGTCACTCTCACATTCCAGGCAATTAAGGCCAAAGTGAAGAGAAAGACAAGTTCCTTCATTACTTCGCCTACCATCTGAAATGAAAGAATTTAAGTTCCTACAAAAGTATTCTACCTTACACACCAATCAATTATGAAATTTAGCAGCTGACTAATTTGATATTTGTTCTATTTTTACTATTTGTGGTTAAGTCTTGTTTAGACAATATAAACTCAAATTTGAACTCACTGCTATCAAATGGGAAACAACTCATAGCTGATTCTCCAGTAGGTTTTGTGGTGGTGTGTTGTTTTTTCCTATTGCGGAAAATAAGCATATACTTATACAACTACATATACACAAACATACATGAAAATATTTACAAATATTTGTGCCCTGCTCTATGAGGACACATATATAGGAACGTTTCTAGAAAATCTTACTAGGACAGGCAAAAAATCTCCATAAGGCTCTTCTCAAAGAAGGCTGCATGGAACTATATGGTAGAAGATTTTATTTTCATGATGTTATTATTGTTGTTAGATGTTGTCAAGTTAAGTATATCCCATAGCGACTCTATGAAGAACAAATCTCAACTCTGTGCCCTCTTCACACTTCCTGAGTCACTAGAGCCCACTGTGACTGTCATCGAGTCAATCCACTGGCTGAGGGTCTTCCTCTCATTCACTGATTCTGTGTCTTCCCAAGCATGAGAGCCCTCTTCAAGGAATAGCTTCTCCTAGCAACATGCCCAAAACACGCGAGAGGAACTTTTCATTATGTCTATATTACCTTTGGCGGGTGCAGGGGTGTGTGTGGGGGTGTGTGTGTGTGTGTGGCCTAATGGTAAGGAGCTGTGTGGTCAACCTGAAGACATGCAGTTCAAATCCATCAGCTTTATGGGAGAAAGATGGGTAATCTCTCCTATGATTAACTGCCTCTGAAAATCCACTGGAGGGTCATCTATGGGTTGGTTCTGATGCAATGGTACGAAAAATAAAAACCATACCACCTTTTAGAGAGCTCTAGTTATCTAGTCAGTTAAGAATTGAGTCACCAATTAAAGGAATGGTGTAAACCCACTAGTTGCTCCTTCCAGTGGGTTTTTAGAGGCTGTAAATCACAGGAGGAGATGCTCATCTTTCTCCCTCACAGCAATGGGTGGATTCAAACAACCTGCCTTTGGGTTGGCAGCACAATTCTTTTAACCAATAGAGCTCCCTCTTAAGCATAGTGAAAGCAAAATTTACTATAGAGCATTACAGTCTTCAATAAGTATGTCCAAGCAAAAAACACTACCAAAAATTTTTTTCTCACTAGAATTAAGGTCACTCATATATGTACCTTTCATCATGTAAACAGTAATCACTAACTGTCAATATAAGTCATTCAATTAATGCAAGGGTAAAATATCATCAGGGGATCAATTCTTAATAAAGCAAAGCAAGGGTATAGATGATTTTGGCTTAGCTTAACCTTGAAATTAGGTTAGTCTCAACTTTACAGGTAAGCTTGTGTTAAATATTTTAAAATGAATTTGGGAGGAGTTAAGCTGGCTTAATTACAGCAAATACTTCCTTTTTTTTTTTCAAACTATGTCAACATACCTTATAACATCGTGTATGGCAAGGCACTTTAAGGTCAGAACTACAGAAGTCAAACTAGTTCTCTTAATCTCAGGGATCACATGGTCAGGCATACACTGGTTCCAAAAATCTTTACTGTAGATTCGAAAGCATTTTCCTGAGGAAGTTCTACCAGCTCGGCCACTTCTCTGTAATGCTTCACTCCTTTAAAGAAAAAAGAAGAGATGAAAAATTCCCCAAATGGTCTGAGTTTCTCAAGTAATTTACCCTCACCCACCCATGAATAGCATTGGGAAAATCTGCTGACACGGGGATATCTCCAGAGCACTGAAAAGCAACGATGTCAGCCTAGAGACTAAGGGTGCACCTGATCCAGGCCATGGTCTTTACAATTACTTGTTACGCTTCAGAGAGCTGGACAAGGACTACGGACGACAGAAGAAGAATCGATGTTTTCAAATTGTGGTGCTGGCAAAGAGTCTTGAACATACCATGGACTGCCAAGAAAACAAACAGGTCTGTCTTGGAGAGGATGAAACCAAGTTTCTCCTTGGAGGCTAGGATTTTAAATTACATCTCACATACTTTGGGCACGTGGCCAGGAGAGACTGATCTTTGGAAAAGGTTATCATTCTTGGAAGGGTGGAGGAGAGGAAGATATTGGATGAGGCGGATTGATACAGTATCTGGGGAGATGGAGGTTGGTGTGTCAGATTTAGTGAGACTGGCTCAGGGTTCAGAGCTGTTGTACACAGGGTCGCTATGTTTCACAGGTGAATCAACAGCATGTAACAATAACAAACCCCCTAAATCAGCTAGGAACTATCTAGTCAATTGTACCTTGAACAAAAAGACTTGCCATAGAGACTTACTTTGAAATTGGAACCACCTCCAAGATGTCCAAGCCTAATCTGGGGTTGTGATTTAATTGTTTCACAAAGCCACCATCTACCACATATCTAGGGAGAACAAAACCAAATTAAATTGCTAGAAAATAAGAGACAATCTGTTCCTATTCAACCACTGTTGGTTCTTTCTACCAAAGTAAGAATTATTTAAAGACATTAATGTTAAACATAAGATGCAAAAAACCAGTAAAGTAATTGGAACTCTCTTCACCATGCTAGTAGGATTCTAAAATGGCAGTTCTGTGAAAATTTAAACATAAAATTGCCATATAACCTACCAACTGCATTTAAAAATTACACATTAATATCCTTGACAGAGCTATCTAGAGCAGCTGAAAGATGGAAACAACTCAAATGTCCAACAACAGATGAACAGATAAAAAATTTAAGGTATATACATATACAGAGACAGTATTTGAATGAAGTAATGATGTATACAACAACATGGATGGCTTTCCAAAACATTACGATAAGTTAAAGGCACAAAATAATAAAAAGATTTCATTTACAGAAAATATCCAGAATATGTAAACCCAATAAAAGTAGAAAGTAAATGAGTATAGTCTTTAGGAGTTAGGGATAGAGAGGAGAGACAGGAAGAAACTGTTTAGTGAATATTGTTTTGGGTGGGTTTTTTTTTCTGTTGTTGTTCTTTTTTTCATTATTATTAATTTAAATGAAAATTTAGAGAGATTTTGGATTTCCATTCATTCATTCATTATTGGTACTTTTTCCCCTACCCACCCATTCCCTCCAGTTCGTTCTTCTCTTTGAAAAGTAAAAGAAAAATTCTTTCGTTGTTATACCATCCCTCCCCACAAGTCCACTCCACTATGCAGCCTTCATTCTGGAGTCATGTCATGACAATAATACCTAATCATACATACCTTTTAAACAGTTCTCTCTCTCTCATCTGTTTCTATGCAGTATATATAATTTATTCCATCTTTCTCAGTCTCCGCCCCAATCCCTATGTCAGTCCTGTTTTACAACAGTGGCACTATGAAGTATGATTAGTGAGTATTGTCTGAAGCCCTGAAATTGATTTAACTCACAGTGACCCTATGTGACAGAGCAGAACTGCTTACAAGAGTTCCATTGGCAGTAATCTGTAGGACAGCAGATCAGCAAGTCTTTTCATGTAGCCACTGAAAAGTTAAGGTTAGTAGTCAAGTGGTTTAATCATTCTGTCACCAAGATTCCTTAAAGGGCATGGAGTTTTCTTTTGAGGTGATGACTGTGAAGCAATGTGATGCATAAACTTCCAAAATGCTAATGAATTATTTAAAATGGTTAATTATTATGTGAGGTTCACGTCAAAGAAATTACACAAAAAACCCTTGCAAGTCTGCTCTATGCTATGCTAATGGGGTCCAAATCTAACTCCAACTAGCCCTTATCATATCATTTTAAGATAATTAAATGAAAAGCAAGTGAGGGGAAGAACTAAGTTCAGAACTGCAGTAAGTCTATCATTCACTAAGGGACCATTCTCAAACATCTTATTTAATGATTGCCTTTACAAAGAAACAGAAAATTATAGAGGTCAATTTATTCAGCAGAGCTGCTCCCCTAAGCACTTGGCAAAGTCATTATTTTCAGAGTAAAGGGAAAAAAAGAAGAGGAAATTCAACATTTTAAACAGATCTAGATCTTTTTACCCTGAAAAAAAGAGACATGGATTTGTTTGGTTTTTTCTTGTTATGTACCAACAAATTGGATCTGACTGGTACAGGAGATTGCCCCTCCTTCTACAGCAGAGCATCTGGTGGATTCGAACTGCGTACCTTTGGGATTGCTATGCAGCTTCTTACCACTAGGCCATCAGAGCTCCTTGAGACATGGTTTTTAAGATTCAGGTCCAACCTTTCTATTACAGGCAAATAGACTGAGGACATGAAACACAATGGGTAAAAGATAAACAATATCCAAAAGGGATGTGGTTCAACAGTCTAAAAGAAGATCACATTAACAAACAATCTAGATTTAACATTTCTAAGTGTTTCTCTAGGGGGAAATTCTAAAATTTACTGGTATCATTCTTATTATCCAAAAAAGAAAGCAAAATATGCATGAAAAGTGAGCAACAGACAACACCTTCAGAAACACACTTGAATGAACAAAGCTTACTGTATTAAGGAGGGCGCAGCATAAGAAAAGAATATGGGATCATACCCCAGAGAAAATTACAATTTTCAATTTAGAAAAAGTTTGAAGATGTCAAGTAGTTAAAAAGTGAGAAATATAGTTTGTACATCCTACATTAATATCCTGTTCACAGTCATTAAATAATTTTTTAAAAAAAAAATGATAGGTGATTATAAATTTAGAGCTTCCAAAAGTAAGTGAGATAATTCTGGAAGGGAGATTGGTGGTTCCTCAAAAAGCTGAATATTTAAGGTTGCAGAGTAGAGTGTACTCAGGGCAGGGAGAGGGGGATTATATACCAATGAAGGAATTTTTCTTTTACTTTTCAAAGACTGGAGCGAAGGGGGGGGGGGGGGGTGGCAGGGAGAAAAGTAAAATAATGAATGAATGGGAATCCAAAATCTCTGTAAATGTTCATGAAAATTAATAAAAAAAAAAGAATCTAAAAAAAAAAAAAAGAATCTAAAAAAAAAAAAGCTGAACATACACCACAAGATAACGGTAAATAACCCAATTGAAAAATGGGCATAGGATATGAACAGACACTTCACCAAAGAAGACATTCAAATGGCCAACAAGTAAATAAAGAAATGTTCAAAATCCTTAGCTCTAAGAGAGATGCAAATCAAAACAACTATGAGATATCATCTCATCCCAGGAAGAATAGCAAAATTTAACAGAACAGCAAACGACAAATGCTGGCGAGGTTGCAGAGAAACTGGAACAATTATTCACTGTTGGTGGGAGTGTAAAATGGTGCAACCACTATGGAAGGCTGTATGGTGCTTTCTCAAAAAGTTGGAAATCGAAATACCATTTGACCCAGCAATTCCACTACTGGGAATATACCCTAAAGAAACCATAACTGCCACCTAGGCAGATATATGCACAGCCAAGTTTCTTGCGGCTTTGTTCACAATAGCAAGGAGTTGGAAACAACCTAAGTGCCCATCAACAAACAAATGGATAGAGAAGCTGTGGTATATTCACACAATGGAATACTACGCTGCATTGAAAAACAAGGAACTCAATGAATAAATGGAAACCCAAAGTCTCTGTAAATTTTCATTGAAATAATAAATTTTTAAAAAAGAAAAACAAGGAACTCATGCAATATTATTAAAAATGGGTGACCTTGAAGGACATTATGCTGAGTGAAATATATCAGTCACAAAAGGACAAATACTGCATGGTGCCACTATTGCAGCATGGGACTGACATCACGGTTGGGGTGAGACTGAGAAAAATTGGATAAATTATGTATACTGCATTGAAATAGATGAGGAAGAGAATTATTTGAAAGGGATATATGATTGGGTATTATGGTTATGACAAGAGTCCAGAAAGAAAGTTGCATAGTGGAGTGTACTGGGGTGGGAGTGGGGGAATTCTATACCAATGAAATAATTTTTCTTTTACTTTTCAAAGAGAAGTACGAACTAGGGGGAGGGGTGGGCAGGGAAAAAAATGCAACAATGAATGTATGGAAATCCAAAGTCTCTGTAAATGTTCATTAAAATTCATTTAAAAAAAAAAAGCTGAACACAGAAATTCCATATGACCCAGCTATTCCATTACTTGGAAAATAACCTGAGAATATGAGAACTGAGGCACAAACTGAGATTTGTACAACAATGTTCATAGCAGTATTATTCACCATCACAAAAACATGGAAACAGCCCAAAGGTCCAACCACAAACGAATGGATTGAAAAGTATGGTACATTCACACAATGGAATATTATGTAACACACAGGAACAATGATTTTCCAAGTTCTTACCTAACTTGGGAGGGACTAAAGAGCGTTATGTTGCGTGAATGAACTAACTCTGCTCCACAAGGATAAATATTGTATAAAACCATTATTGTAGAATGAGTATAAAGATCCAAGAGGGGTGAGAGAGGTTGGATGCAGAGGGATGTGGATGTGCAGGGAGAAAGGGGATTAATCATCAGGTTGTACGATTTGATGGGTAGGGGTGTGAGGGAAATTGAAAGAATTTGTTTGAAAAAAAAAAAAAAGAAAGAATTTGTACTCAAATTTTGTAAATAAACTAGGAGAAAATAAAAAAAGTAGGGGAGAGTCAAATTAACAAAAAATGGAGAGAAACAAATGCTACAATGCTGTTTTGTTGTGGGTGGTTTTTTTGTTTTGTTTTGTTTTAAAGTTTCATGTCTTATATTTAGCTCACGGATTTCTTGGCTTTAAGAGAAATTTCATTTCAAAAGCTTTACCTGATTCCATCTATTGTCAAAGATGTTGCAGAAATATTGGTGGATATGACACATTTTCTAATTCCAGGTGGAGGTGGCAAAAAGATTCTCCTCTGTTGATCTAAAATATATATGTATATAAAGAAAAGATACTAATTTACAAGACGTATCTGTAAAATTTAAGTTTTTGAGAATTTTCTTTACATTGTTTTCCTTTTCTTTTAGTGATCTTCAATTATAAATATGATAGTATTAGTAAAACAATTTTTTCCTCAATTTTCACTGTTAGGATTTCTAGTTTCATGGAACCATATATATGGAATCATTATAGCTGAAAAAAAAATTATAGCCGTCTTTTATGAAGGTTATAGATTTGTTAGAGGCTATATAAAGATCTCCTCTCCATTAAAAGGCATAATTTTTCTTTCTCTCAAACAGTACCAGGATTTTCAGAAACTCTATGAAGCCCATCCACAAGGTTAATAGATTAAAGATCTCTACTTGAAGGATTAATTAGCCAAGCAGTTTTTACTTTTTGGGAGTATCTGCACAACTCATGACTGCCTGCCTCTCTAGAGAAATTAACATTACACTACTCATTTCTATTATTCATACATTCTGGTAGGGGAGGTGTCATCAGCCACGCTTGTAGTAGGACACCTTGCTTCTCTGGCCACAGTTTATTGCATTACAGATTGCTATCCTCTCAAAGTGAGCTAATCAGTCTTCTGTGAATATAAGGTACAGTCCAAGTGATTTAGAAGTACAGTTTGAATCTACCAGCTGCTCCACAGAAGAGGATGGGAATTCTCCTCTCATGAGATTTACTGGCTCGGAAAACCTGCTGGAGGGTCAGCTAATAGTTCTGACTCAATGGCACACAACAACAGTCTCTTGCAAAGACGAAAGATACACTTGAGAACCAAAGGGCACTGATTAATGTACATGAAAAACAAGCTTGTCTAATAAATAATAAGAAAAAAAAAGAATGAACAGCCATGCAAGTTAGAAAATATTTCTAAGTACCCAATTGCTGGCACTATAGGTAAAACTGTAGGCATTTAGCTAAAAAAAAAAAAAAAAAAGACGGCTGGCAGTTCAACCTACACCAATCACTTGATGGAAGAAAGAGAAGGCAGTCTGCTTCTGTAAAGATTTAAACTTTGAAATTCTATCAGCAGTTCTACTCTGTCCTACAGGGTCATTAAGAGAACTGACATGATGTTAGTGGGATAGCAGCTGTGAAATAAGTGGAAAGAGTGACTTGCCCTTGCTTTGCTTCCAGGTTAAACAGGAGACATGGAAAGAGATTTTAAAAATATTTACAATGAAATGACTAAGGACAGGAGATAAATTACGGATGGGAAAAGTTAAGTCTCAATGGATTGGTAAATGTTACAATAGCAGAACAAGTGAATCAACATCTTTGGTACCAGCAGTCAGGAAATCAGGAGATGTACTGCACGGGGCAAGTCAGTTGAGGACTGACTGTTGGGGACCTCTCTAAAATAATGAAAAGCAATGATGTCAGTTTGAAATCTACGGTGCCCCTGATTCAGGCCATGGTTTTCTCAATCATCTGCTATGAATTAGAGAGCTGTACAACAAGTAAGAATGACAGAAGCACTGATGCCTTTGAGCTGTGGTGCTGGAGAAGAGTACTAAATATCCCATGGACTGCCAAAAAACAAACAGGTATGTACTGGAAAGGGTGTTGTCAGAATGTTCCTTGGAGGCAGGGTTGACCACACTTCACTTTTCATACTTTGGACATGTAGTTCGGGGAGCTATTCCTTGGAAAATGACATCATGCTTGGAAAGACAGAGGGTGAGAGGAGGAGAGGAAGACCGCCAATGAGATGACTTGACACTGACTTCAGCAGTGGGTTCTAGTGTTTCAGAGATGATAAGGATGGCACAGGACTGGGCAGGTTTCAGAATGACTGTTCACAGGGTCACTATGAGTTGTGCCTGACTAGAAGGCACCTAATAACAAGCATTTCTATTTGTCTCATTCTGTATTATATCCCATGCCCTAGGTTTCAGACCTTCCTCCTACCCCCTTATTTCATTCTGATGGTATCTTTCAGTAGCTTTCTCAAAAAGGAAAAAGCTAAATTATTCTCTACAGCAACAATTGATGAAGTTTAAAGTTTCTCCACATCTTCAACAGACTCTCTTATTTTCTAATAGCCATTCTGGTGAATGTAAATTCTATCCCATTGTGATTCTGGTTTCCATTTCTCTAACGTTTAATGAAGTACCTTTTTTCTACATTCATTGGCCATTTGTAGATCTTCTTTGGAAACACTTATATTCAAATCCTTTACTCATTTTTAAATTGTGTTGTCTTTTTGTTATTAAAGAGAATTTTTTTGGTACAAATGCAAATAACATTATTCTGTCCTCACACTTAATCGAAAGTATGGCTAGGTATAAAGTTCTATAGTGGGAATCACTGCTTTATTAGATTCTAGCTTTCACGGTGCTGTCTCATGTCATTTTGATTCCCAATCTTGGGTTGGGTTTTTTTCCTCTCTTGAAGCTTTTAAGGCACTCTTATGGCTTAGTGGTAAGTAACTGCCTGCCAAACTAATGACTGATGGTTTGACGCTCTGTGATAGAAAGATAGTTAATCTCCTCCCATAAGATTTATTGTCTCTGAAAAACCACTGGAGGGTCATCTATGGGTCAGTTCTGACTTGACAAATACACAACAATAAAACAGGAAGATAAATCAGGGAAAACAAGTTAGCAAGTTATAGTAACAACTCATGAAAGCATACTGAGGGTCACAACTCTAGCAGTGGCAAAAAAAGTAGATTAAGAAGAGCTGGGTGATAAAGGGAAATCTGTAGGAGGTGCCATTTGCTTGAGTAACGCCCAATGAGAAAGCCCTGGACCTCTAAGAGCAAAAGAACGACCTGAACTAGAGAAAGCTTCCAAGAGTCATTCGTGGAGAAGTGACATGATTCCCAGGAGCCAATTTCCCCCAAATAAAGAATACGTTAAAAAAACCAACAAAACCCCAAGCAAACAAAAACCAGCAAGCTAAAGATGAAACCTTTAGAAATAGCCACATTTAGAAGGAAGGAAAAGGAGTAAGCAGCCTCAAAAGGCAGTGGTCAGAAGAACTGGATAATTAAATACTATCCCAGAAGACAGCATTTCATTAGGAGACTATCATTAGTATGAGAGTTAGGATACAAATGAAAGTAAATATACATAAAATTTGAAGAACAAGGAGAGGTCATCAGTAACTATTCACAGTATACAATCAGATTTCAAGAAGTTAAATGAAGTGTTAGCAAATATAGAACTAAATGAGGCATTAGCAAATACAAAAAAAATTATTTTCAATAGGTCGGTATGAAGAAAATAATTCACTTACGTAGAAGAAAATATACTGTGGTCAGTAACAAAGCAACCACAACGGATTCTGAATTATCTTTTGCAAAGTAAACTGTAATAATCACAAAAGTAAGTATCCAGAAAACAAAAGTCTAAAAAAAACAAATGATCACACTAAGCATTCCCTTCAAAGTAGAGAGATCTGTGCTCAACAACTTCCAGAGTCAGGGCCAAATTCACAAAAGATATTTCTAAAATAACACATTTTCTATGGTTATTTACCAATGTATTTATTCCCAAACTCTGTAAATATAAGGATAAAATCAACCAACATAATCACAAAACATAAAAGTATTTTTACCTGTTTAATATTATCTGAACTCCAAATAGGAGGCTGTGGTCAGTTTCCCTTCAGTTTTGCAAATCAAATTTCAAAATAATTCAGTTTTATGAAAGAATTCTCTACCTCTTTCAACAATACTTAATTTTGGTCAAATTTCAGAACAGTAAAAATTTGAACTTTTTTTTTATGGCTTTTTAAAAATTATTTTTTAAGAACATTTTTTATTTTATAATGACTTACTTACAAAGCTTATATACATTGTTTCTCACACTGGATCTTTCCCATTTCCTTTACCCAACTCTCCCTCCACCCATCAAATTGCATGACCCATTGATTACCCTTCTCCCTCACCTGTCCTCACCACTTTGCTCCCACCCTCCCTCCATGGATCCTCATACACGTTATGCTGGTTATCTATTTCTACAATAATCGTCTTGTACAATATTTATGGGACTGAGTTAGTTCACTTAGCATAATACTCTCCAGTCCCTCCCAAGTTAAGTAGTGATTTTAAAAATCATTGTTCCTGCATGCTGCATAGCATTCCATCATGTAAATACTTTAATTTCTCAATCTATTCAACGATGGTTGGATGTTTGGGATGGTTCCATGTTCTTGCGATGGTGAATAATGCTATGAACGTTGGTATAAAACTCTCTATTGGTGCCCTGATTCTCATTTTCTCAGAGTATATTCCAAGCAGTGAAATAGCTGGGTCAGATGAAATGTCTATGTTCATTTTTCTGAGGAAATGTCAAACTACGTTTGTTGTTGGCTATTGTAAATGGTACTGTTTTCTTGGTTTCCTTTTATGAGTTCTTTCTGTTACTGTAGAGGAGTCCTATTGATTGTTTAGATATTGATCTTGTATCTTACTAAGTTGATCCACTAGCTCTAATGGTGTTTTTGTTGAATCCTTAGGGTTTTCTATACACTATCATAACCATATCTTTGGTGATCTGAAATTTGAACTTTTTATAACTTGTTTTTTAAAATTCACAAGAATAAGATTATTGAAAAGCAGACTATGTAACATGCAGTTACTTTAAAAGTCTGTTAATCTTTGATATATTTGAATACTCATGATCAGAAATTCTGTAGTATAGAAAATGAGGGTTGATTTACAGCATTATGATCAAGAAATTATATCTGATGTTTCTGTTCTACTAGGCGACAACACAAGCTACTCCAAGGCTCTGGAAAAAAGTGAATAAACATGAAAATACTTCACAAATAGAATTACTTCTACTATGAGATACTAGGTCTTGCTAAGTTCTGTTTCATAGCTCTGGTTACAAAGACAAAGGATAAGCTGTTTTCTGAAAGTTACCACATAAATAACTTATGACCTATATAATTACTTATGATCTATATTTTTCTGTGTATGCATCACTTAATAAATTTTAAAAAATTAAGCAAATTTTCCATTTTAATGAGGAATTACCTGTTGTCATAGATCCATAACAGGGTAATATTAGTAAGCCATCTAGAGTGGTATCTTGAACATCATAATCATAATCTACAGACTCAGCCATCTGGAAGAGCAATTCACAACTTTTTTCGATTTCAAACTGGCCTGAAATGGGGAGGAAAAAAATATCAGAAATTAAACAGCAAAACTGATTAAAAGCTAAGCAGAAAAAAACCCACACTGCTTCTAGATTAAGTAACAACAAAACAACATAAAAAATCCCTCAAATTCATTGCCATCGAATCCAAACCAACTCATCACTGACCCTTCAGGGGTTTTTGGAGGCTGTAAATTAAATGGGAGGGGACTGTAAATCTTTCTCACACAGAACTGCTAATGGATTCAAAACTCCAGAGAAGATGGATTAGCAGCTCAACCACCTACGGATTATACCAACAGAGCTCTCTAAATTGCTCATTTTCTCTAAAGAAAATGAGTACAAAGTACTTTTACCATGCATGTACCAAATCTCAACAGTTAAATTCAAGAGAGAAAAAACAAACCAATTCCTAATAAACTGAACTCTCTAAAGGAATAAATGTAACTGTAATCTTCAACATTTTAATTGTTAACACAGGGAATTCTGAGTCAGTGAGCTATTGCTTGAATAAGATATTGTCTTTAAATACTTAACTAAAAAAAAAAGTCAAAGAAGTTGTTGTGTTTCACTTATGACAGTACAAAGCAGAGAGGTGAGCAATGAAATGACTCATTCCTGTTAGTTAAGATGCTGCTACTTAAGGAATCACATCAGTTTGTGATTTAACTGTTTTATTTTTGATCTCCAAAAAACTGCTAGACGTGTCTATGAGCCAGGAACTCCACACCTTATCTACGGTGATCACAACAGCACCATTCCAGCATTCAAAGAAGAAAGGTGATGTTTAATGACTTTTGAAATAATGGAATTAAGCATTCAGATCCACCCAACACTGTTCAGTATGGTAACAGCTGATGCTCTAAGTTATGTAGATGGTGTAAGTTAGCATCTTTAATTAAAAGATGCTTTACACGTATTTACTAACAAGTCTGATATTTCTTATTGTTGTTGTTGTTGCTATCGAGTCACCATAGCACCCGACGTACAACAGCTCTGAGGTCTGCACTGTCTTGAGTCAGTGTCACTGCCTCCGACACACCTACCCCCTTTGCCCCAGTTACTGTATCAATCCATCTCATCCGGGATCATCTTCTTCTAAGTGCAGAATTATTTCATAGATTTTATATTTAAAACTATACAGAGAAACATAAAAAAAATTGGATAACAGATGAGAAGAAGTGGCACTCTTGCGACATGCTGTTCTTAAAACAATAAGCATTTAAAAACCAGGTACTGAATGCTTACCAGTGAGAAAAACCAAGATATCGCCAGCCATTTCATTCAAATGGATATCCATGGTCACTTTCACAATCTAAAGAAAGAAGCAGAAGCATAATTTGCTAGTCACACTGTAGTTATTTCCCTACCACTAACTCTTCCCGCTCCACAGAAAAATAAGAGCTCTCAAAAGTTCCAGGAACCATGATGGTTGTCAATAAATTAGTAAAGAGAACAAAGGAGTCATCAAACTCAGGTAACTAAAATAATAAATATAAAAAAGAAGCAAAGAGGATGGCAAGTAATACCGCTTGAATATATGCAGTGTTTTCTTTGTCTCGTGGACCAATCAAATTGCAGAATTTCTCTCTGACAGGATAAAGTCTTCCAGGGATGTCAAAAATTGGGCAATCTCCAAAGAAAGCAGACAGCTTGGCTAATTCCATAGTTGCTGACATCACCACCACCTTTAAATGCTCCTTCCTATTAGGAGCCTTCTCCTGAAACAGTTTCTTCAATAAACCAAATAAGATATCCTGAAAGAAGAGCAAACTTATAGAAAGTAAAAAATTTAAATGCCAAATTATTTCAATGTACCTTAGCCAAACAACTACTACTTTAGTAGATTAAAATATAAGAGAAGACAATTCTCTATACAGCAAAAAACTGCTGCTATAACGAAATGATCAACTTGCTAATAAAAAACAAAAAATACTCACTGTAGTCAAAGTTCTTTCATGGGCTTCATCCAAAATGATGACACTGAATTTGGTAAGACTTGGATCTCCCAGAATATGTTTCAATAAACATCCATCAGTCATGTATTTGATTGCTGTTTCCTAATATTCAAACAGCAGAATTATACCAAGTTAGTTTCATGGAATTTCCTTACTTACTCCAACTAAATTTTCCCCAAAATGAGACAGACAGGAGGCAATAAAACTAATTCCATTAAATAAAAATAAAAGAGAGTATTATAATGTCCAATGTGGATGGCAAATTATGAAAAGGTGATCTGAACAGAGAAAGGGATGAGAAACTACGATGGGCAAGAAGGAACTAGAGAAAGCCAACAGACAATCGTAAGGTAATGCACTAGCTTCAGGTGTGAAAAAGCTGTGGAGAACAATGAAGTGGGACTCATCTTTTTTGTTTCGGTCATTTTTTTGAATATTAAGAGAAGCAGAGTTATAGATAAGAGGAAATGGGAAACTTTCCTTTCACTCACTCTTTCCTGCCTGTTCACCAATGAAAAATAGTGTCACTCCACCAGCATTAGATCAGGGGTAGGGGTAGGAAGGCAAGGGAAGAAAAGAGAGAAGGAAAAATCCTCAAGATAGTTCTCTGGACAAAGTTATTCTGTGCCACATTTGATGGGCATTTTTATTAGGAATCATACATAAATCAGAGATTCTTTCATTTCTGGTACAAGATTAGGAAATCCTGTTAGAATCTAATTCTATTCATTATTAAAAAGGAAACAATTACAAACTTCTAACTGTCGTCATTAAGTGCTATCAAGTCAACTATGACTTACAGTGACCCTAGGAACAACAGATCTGAACTGTGCCCTATTTTGTGCCATCCTTATCATCTCTAATTTACTTGAGCCCGATGATATAGTCAGTCACTGTGACAATCCATCTTGTCAAAGGTTTTCCTTTCTTTGGATGAACCTTCATCACTCCAAGCATAAATGTCTTTTCCCAGGACTGGCCCCTCCTAACAACATACCCAAAGTATGTGAGATCAAGTTTAACCATCCTTGCCTCATAAACTTGTTGCCATGCAAACAGAAAAAGATTAATGTATTTACTTGCTGACTTCATTAATTGTCAGACTTTAATTCACTACAAGAACATAATCTACCATATAAAAAAATCCTTACAGCAAAAAAAAAAAAAAAAAAATAAATAGGGAATGAAAGAGAAAGTAAAAGAAAAAAGAAAGAGAAAGAGAAGTATAACTGTAATGGACTAATTGAGAAGGGAAAAATGAGGATGAACTAGTCTTCTCCAGAACTAAAGTATTAACAGCGGGAAACCAAAACGAATTCTATTCTGAGGCTTTGTTTCTTTAAAACATGTGGGAGTTTAAATGAAAACCTTTCACAACTGTGTCCACCTATCTTTAAGAAACTTATAGTAATTAAAAGAATAAGAACATGAGTTTTGTACCTGAGAGCTGCAATCATCAAAACGAACTTGGTATCCTACTTTGGATCCCAAAGTGCATTTCATTTCTTCAGCAACCCTCTGAGCAACGGATATGGCAGCTACTTTTCGTGGCTGAGTTACACCAATCATACCATGTTGTGAAAATCCTATCACAACAAGAAATAAAAAACCAAAATGTTAACAATTACTTTTTTCTACTAGAGCTAAGAGTTCTGATAGTACAATACTAAAGGGCTCAGCTGTCCAAAACCACCAACTGCAACAAGAGAAAGATGACGGAGACTGTGTCCACGAAGACCACTCCTTTGTTGTTCGGTACCTTCAAGTCAACGAGGACTCATTAGAGGGACCCCATGAACAACAGATCTGAACCTGCCCTTTCCTGCCCCATCCTGCCATCTCACTGAGGGTCTTCCTTTCTATGATCCCCTACCTTCCTAAACATGATACCTCTTCCAAGAATTGGTCCCTCCTGATAACACACTGAAATTATGTGAGACAAAGTTTCACCATCCTTGCCTTTAAGGACCACACTGGCTACAGTTTTTTTGGCAGTCATGAGACACTCAGTTTTCTCCAATACCACAATACAAAGGCATTGATTCTTACAGTCATCCTTGTTCACTGTCTACATTTCAGATGCATATAAAGCAACTGAAAAGAACATGGCTTAGATTAGGCACATTTTAAGTCTTTTAAACCGACATCCTTTTTCCTTAGCACTTATGAAGAGGTCCTGGACAGCAGCTTTTCCCAATTCAATCTATCTTTTGATTTCCATACTGCTAATACCCTGGGTATTGAGTGTGGATCCAAGCAAAATGAAAGGACTAACATTTTCAATTTTTTCTCCACCTATCTCGATGCTGTCTATTAGTCTAGTAGTGAGAATTTTTGGGTTTTTTTTTTATGTTGAGATGTATGAATTCTATACAGAATCCATAAAGATTACGGCTTTGGAAACTCTACAAGGCAGTTCTACTCATCTGACAAAGTCGTTATGAGTCAGAATAAACTATGAGGCAACAGTTGTGGTGGTGTTTTTTTTTTTTTAACAGAGCTAAATCACCACAGCTCAAATAAAGGCTCAAATGTTTACAAAAGAAAATTCTCCAAATTAATAACATGCTCTATTAAATCTATCAGTGTTGGAAACCCAATGGGAGTTTGGAGCTGACATGATGGCAGTAGATTTGATATTACATTTATACTATGAAATTTTACATACTAATTAAAAATAGAGCGTCCGCTAGGGGCGTGGTCGTCGCCATGGTCGCCGAGTCTGAAGCTGGTGAGCCCGGGAAGAGGAAGTCCTTCAAGCTTCTAGGAATTTTAGATGTCCAGAACATTCCCTGTGCACGTGACTCAGTACTGTATGGTTCGTTAGGATCTGTTGTGGCTGGCCTTGGACATTTTTTATTAACGAGCAAAATTAGAAGATCATGTCATGTTGGAGTAGGAGGATTTATTTTGGTGACTTTAGGATACTGGTTCCATTGTAGGTATAATTGTGCAAAACTAAGAATCCAGGAAAGAATTACCAGAGAAGGTATTAAAAATAAGATTTTATATGAAAGCACCCACCTTGATCCTGAAAGGAAAACCAAGAACAGCACAACAGCTGAGCAGCCATAAGCAGAGACCATCAATACAGCTCTCAGACCAACGGACAGAGCCGAGATCAAGTGCACAAATCACCCAATTACATACAAAGGAAATGAAGCCATCTTCACTACTACCAGTACCTGTCAGATATTCTGGTGGCCCTGTGTTACGTGCCTCACTTTCTGAGAAAGTAAATTTAATTTACTGGAAGTGTGTGCTAAGAATAAAACTGTAAAGTCTAGTAAAAAAAAAATAGTAAAGAGTGTGTATTTCTAACTAGATTTGGGGTTTTGCCCCCAGTTTGCTTGTTTTCAACTCCAGCGTAAAAAATAAGCCAGTTGTTTTTTTTAATAAGCCAGTATTTTTTTAATGCCTAGAAATTTGACTTTCTAAAATCAATTCACCTCTGTCACAGTAATAAAAACCAGATTTTTAAAAATGTTAAATTCCATAGACTATACTTTGCTGCTGCTGCTGTAAACCAGAGTCGGAACCGACCCATAGCTGACCCTTTGGTGGGTTTTCAGAGGCAGTTAATCACACGGGAGATTGCCTATCCTTCTCCTGAAGAGCAGCTGGTGGCCTCGAACTACACGCCTTCAGACTGCAGCGTAGCTTCTTGCCTCTAGGCCACCAGAGCTCTAGATTCTACTAGCATTTCTCTCATCCCCACAGGTTAACACACTTTTATTAGCATGACTCAGTGTATTAAAAACAAACAACAAAAACCCAAGCCCTTTAGATCATCACAGCTTCCAGTTTTTGTGCTTCGGATATCATAGTCTTCTGTCCTTTTTCTTTTTAGTTCTCTGCCTTTTCTTCTATAAATACAGTTTTAGAATGTTCTCCTGCATGTTTTGAAGCCAATCTAAGTCCTTGCTTTGGTTTGCTGGTGTTCTTCAAAGCCGGCTTTGAGTTTTGTTATTTGTTTTTCATTATTAACAGAATGAATGATTCTGAGTTGACTTCCCATCAGCTCAGAATTATTTTAGAGCAAGGTGAATATGTATTCTCAAAGAAAACACAGCTGTATGGAAATCCAAAATCTCTGTAAACGTTCATTAAATTTAATTTAAAAAAAAAGAACATAGCCAAAGCCTTTCCCTACTCCAGTCACCTAGTCCTATACAACGATTCTCAATAGCCTCAATACTGCTGCAGTCTAAGAAGTGCTCCCCACAGCAGACTCTTTGATCTTTTAAGGGAGATTCCCTACAAACACTGGTGGCTTTCCCCTAGACAAAGCCTCAGATGAGAGGTTAACTTTGATATGGAATCTATATGTGATATAGGTCCCATTTATTTTCAACACTTTCTGAGCAGCACTCTCATCCTTAAACATAAGCATTAATATTTTTTGATAGGGATGAATTTCATGCTTTCCTGCTGCCAATATTTTAGATAATATACCCTCTGCTGAACCAGAGAACTAAACTACAGAATCTACCTATATTCTCCGAAAAAAGATTTCAGCTTATTACATGTAATGGGCAAATTACCCACAAACTTGATCCTCTCATTCTTCAGCCTCTTTTCTTGGCTGAATCCTGTTCATTTGACTCACAACTGTTGTGATCTACACCATTTAGATACTCCTCTGCTGCCTAAACCCTATCACCAGATTGAGAACTTTTTCTTTTTTGCCCAAATTTCTCGTGAAAAACTTCTCCTTCTTCCAGCCAGCATTTGCTAGAGCACCTTCTCTCTGGTCTGCACTTTCATGTTTTTGGGCAGATTCTTGCAAATGTGGCTTTTGTGATTGCAATACAATTTCTTCTTTTTCCTCTTCATCCTGTTTCCTTATTTTGGTTGTTTCCTGGGAGACAGAGACATACACCAGCTGGATGAATGGGGAGGGGGGCAGGGGACGACACACACATCTAAAGAGAGCGGTCAGGCAGAGCGTGACGTTTCTACTAGCACCTCTTGTATTTAAAAAACGCCTAACAACGACACAATTCGTTGCTTGCAAGTCAAAACTGACTCATACTTGACCCTCTCCTGGGGGAGGGTAAATTGCTGGGCAGAAGACTTCTCATCTTCTCCCTTGGAGCCACTCGTGGATGTGAACCACCAGTTAGGAGTATACTCCCAGGAGCTCTGGTAGCCTAGTGGCAAGAAGCTACACTGCAATCCCAGAGGTGCATGGTTCAAATTCACCAGACACTCCGCTGGAGAAGGAGGGGCAATCTCCTCCTGTAGATCCAAATTGATGGTACACACACAAAAAAATAATTACATTTTTTTTAAAAAAGAATGCACTCCCTACTTATTAGGTCACCTGTTGTCGCTGTGTACTGTAGAGTATGAACCGACCTCCGGCAGGTTGTCAGAGACATCCCGCAGAGCAGCTAGTGGTCTCGAACCCCATGTCTTCTGGATTGCACTCAGCTTCTTGCCACTAGGCTACCACAGCTCCCTAGGTCATCTACACTAACTTTTTATATTTTTAACACTCCAGAAACAGGTTGGAACTATTAATAAGGATAATTTTGTTTTGTCACAGCATATAAAATAGCAGTGCGTCTTAATAGATGGCATTTAGAATTGACATGCTAGTGAAAGTTTATGTAAGTTAAAATTGGGTGTTTGGGGGTTTTTTTACATGAATCATGTAGAACATTTTTTTTTCGTACTTAAAATATAATTTTAAAGAGAAAGTTTAATGGCACATTTCTAGCAGTCACACAATAATATTTACCTGATAATGTTCTTGAGAAGAAACTAAAACATAACTAACATTAGTAATAAACATCAACTTATCCTTCCCCTTCCCTTTTCTTAAATATCATTTCAACTCCTTATGGATCAATCTAAAGTGAGACATTCTACAGCAAACAAATGTTAATTGTTACGTGCTATCTAAGTTGGAACAGACTCTAGCTGACCCTCCAGTGGGTTTTCAGAGGCAATAAATCATATGGGAGACTGCCCATCTTTTTTTCTGCAGAGCAGCTGGAGGATTTGAACCTTGTGCCGTTGGGTGTACAGTGCAGCACAATATAAAACGGCTGTCGCATTCTCTGCCATGCTTAAAAAAACATTTTTCAAAAAATTATTACCTTCTTGTATGCTAGTTCCAGATTAATGTATATAGATACGGATATTTTTGTGGATATTTGCACAGTATAGAAGTCCTATCAGTCTTTAAAAAACACAAACTACTACTATTAGCATTATCCCACAATAAAATTACCTGCTTCATACAGATATTTTGGAAGTTGAGTTGTTTTACCACTTCCTGTATTTCCAGTAACAATAAGGAATGAATTGTCTCTCACAGCTTGGATAAGCTTTTTTCTTTGCTTCTGAATAGGAAAAGTTGGAGTAGTTCCTCCTTCCTGTGATGTGCATCCTTTTTCTTCTGTAATAACAGAAAAACAATTATGCAATTAAAAAAATTCATAAAGATACCCTTGACTCAATTTTCTGGAACTGAAAAAGAGAAAAATAGAATTTTAAAACTGGAAGGAATAAATCCATGATTTCCCACTGAAATTACCATTTCCATTCTTAAGTAAGCCCCTAAGACGTTTCTGATGAAATTTAAGCACTTTCACATGCATGACTTAGACTTCTTGACAATGGAGGTCTTGCACAACACAACATATATACATACATTCTTACATATATGTACAAAGACCAAATTTTCTAAAATAGAAAACTGGAATAGTACTTGCAGAAAATTCTCAGCTGAATTCGAAACCACCTGTGTTTGCTTCTGATTCTTGATTCAAGTTAGGTCCCTGCTCAAAGTGACTGATATCCCAGAAGGCCAAGTGGTAGGTAACCATGGAAACTGGCTCCTGGAAACTGGCTCCCTTCATACCGTACCAAAGGCAGGCTGGCAGCCAGAGGGAGGGGAGTGAGTGGGCAGGGAACAAAGGCTTTATGAGCTTGTTTAAGAACACAATGTATCTAGGCGTTGAGGTTAGTAGGGGTTTTGCCTAACTTGTGTCTGGGACCTCCTCCCTCTAAGGCAAAGTGCTCCCTAGACGCAAGTTCGCCTCCGGACATGAGGACAAGGAGAAAGCTACATTTTTCTCTTATCCCTTACGTTGCCTCCCAAATACGGACTTTCATCCCTTCAAACCCCCATGCCGTAACTCCCATTATTCTCCACCGCGTCCCGTGGACCGCACCTCTATCAGAGATGTTACCAGCCGAGGGCTGCTCTTCTTGAAGGTCTCTTGACCGCTCACCTTCCTCCTGCCGCCTTGGCGCCCTGCCCGCGACGGCGGGAAACCGGGACATAGACCTGGCCCAGAGCAAAGGTGAGCACGTCCACTGATCCGGGAAGATGGGAGGAGAAAGGCGAAGACGCTACCTGATGACGTTGGTGTTTACTTCCGCGCGTGCGACTCGAAGAGAGGGGCGGGGGAGATGCCCGGTGACGTGCCGTGCACAGCCGGAAACCGCTTCCTGCGCCACCAGCCGCGAGAAGGGTGGGACGGCTGAGGCCTCTGCTAGGACTCGAAGCCGCTTTTGTTTCAAGTATTGTTTGCAGTGGCGTAATATGTAGCTTGTTGTACTACTAATCCAAAGGCAGAGCCTTTCAGGCATTTCAAATGCCCCAGAAGCTCCAGGGCAGTCTCCTCCGGTGCAATTTACAGCCTGCGAAAACGGCTAGCTATGAGAAATGCAACGACACACACATTCTCAGCCACAATGGCGATAGTTGTTATTGTTGGGTGCTTTCCAGCCACAGCGGTTACGACAGCCAATTTTTGAGTTGACTCTCTGCAAGGAATAGGAATCGTGCTAGTTAGTGCCCCTTCCAACATCTTACTCTAGTTTGTTCATACCCTGATGAAATATCTGTGGTGCATAGCTACTTCTAGTTCTGCAGTGTCCAAAATGTAGGTTGCTGCACTCTGCTACTTCTCTTTTTAGGACTCTTTCTTTTCCTATTTCTTTTTCCCCTCCCTTCCCATTCCGCCCCCCCCCTTAGCCCACCACTGGGCAATAAAGCAACAAAAGGGGAGTGGGGGGGGGGGATTTTTAAACCTTTCTGCAATCCCGGAACACTGTAATTCTGTCTTTGCTTCTAAGGAGCCCTCTGGCTGCATTTGTGACAGATTTGTTCATTCTTTTGGCAGTTCATACTATATTCCGTGTTTTTTACCAACACCATAATCTAAATTAGTTAATTCTTCAGTCTTCTTTGTTTATTGCTCAACTTTTAGAAGCATTTGAAGGAATTGAAAATACCATGGTCAGGCATGTCTTACTCTTACTGACGTCCTTGCCCTTTAGCATTCAGAAGGTTGATAACAGTTTTCTACTATAGTACACCATTTGATTTCTTGATTATTGCTTCTATGGGTGTTGATTGTTAATCGAATTAAAAAGAAATCATTGACAACTTCAATCTTTTCTCTACTTTTTTATTGTTACAGTTGTATTTCTTTATATTGAGGTGTAATCTGTGCAGGAGGCTTGAATTTTCTTCAGTAAGGGATTTAAGTCTTTAGTTTTAGAAAACAAGGCTATGTTATCCCCACTGTGCAAACTGTTAATGAAACTTCCTCCGATCCTGATGCAGTGTTCTTCCTCGTATTGTGCACTTTCTCAGATTATTTGCTTAGCATGCAGGTTGCATATCTATAGTGAAAGGATACAATCCTTTTTCGAATTTTCAGTGTGTCAAATCAGATCTGTTGGTACAGGAGGAAATTGTCGCTCCTTCTCCAGAGAATTTGGTGGATTCGAAGCGCGCACCTCTAGAATTACAGTGAAGCTTCTTGCCACTAGGCCACCAAAGCTCCATAAAGGATACAATCCTGACGCACAGCTTTTCTGATTTTAAACCATTAACTGTCCCCTTGTTCTGTTTGAAAGAATAAACCAAAAGGGGGGAGGGAGATGCTTCATAACAGGAAGCATGGAGGCTGGAAACCACTTACTTTCCTACCTCAACCTTGAAGTTGAGCCATCAGCCAAAGCCCTACCTACCCCCAAGAAACTTGGAAACTTGAAGGTGCCTCCAACGGCAATGTTCTGCTTTTGCATGGATATAATTACATGTTCAGGAATTATTATTCTTCATATTGTTATCTATAATTTATTATGATCCACGCAGTCAAATACTTTTGTGTAGTCAGTAAAACACGGACATCTTTTTTTTGTATTCTCTTTCAGCCAAGACCTATTTGACATAAACTATGGTATCTTTCATTCCATAGTCTTTTGTGAATCCTACTTGTACTTCTAGCAGTTGTCTGTCAATGTGCTGCTCCAGTTATTTTTTTAATAATCTTCACATGAATAGTATTTTTTTTCTTTTCCATCAGCAAGGGTTTTATTTGTCAAAAGAGAATTATGATTGACCTCCAAATTTGGATGACAATTTACTGATGAGATTCATAACCTTGGGGTTACTCTGATAATTTGGCATATTTGCTGGATTCTGGGCCACATCCTGGAAGGCCACTGTAACTTCTGGATCCTGCATGGCTGCAAGAACCTCTGGGTCACTAAGAATCTCATTGAGACCAGACATTCCTGCGATTCCAGGTACTGCCCCTCCCATTCCAGGCATTTTTCCTGGAAAATTTCCAGGCACTCCTCCAGGAAAGTCACCTGGAAGAGCACTATATTGCACTCCTGACTATCACCTGGCTTCTTCCTCCCTTTGGGTGTGTTCATGTTCTTCCTGAGCCTTCTTAACTCTCTCTATCCTGTCTTTCATAGGGTGAAAGCCTAACACTGTGACACTGTTGAGTCAAATGTGAGAATGGTTACCTATGGTGCACAGTGTTTGGTAGAGCTCCCCACTTAAAACAAGCTTGGAAGCAGAAGTGGCATCCACTTCCATAATAGCTTTCCTCTGGAAACCCTATGGACCTGGAGAAAGGACAAAAATTATACAGGTGTCCAGGACTTTCGTTCATAGGGTCGCTATAAGTCACCTATGACTCAACGGCACTTAACAAAACAACAACATCCTCTCTTTGGTCTCGTGCTCTTAATATTGTCTTTCATACTTTCTCCGATGTTCTGCATTGCACTAGCATCTTCATCATAGTCCACTTTACAAGCAAGGCCAAGATCATGTACTGTTTCTTCCCAATGGCCTAGAAGTCTGTGTGCTTTCCCACACCACTTAAACAGCTGAGCTGAATTGGGATTAATTTCAATGGCTCTGTCACAGTCTCAAATAGAAGCATTTGGCTTCTGTAATTTGATGAAGACACTGGCTCTCTTGGCATACAGAATGGCTAAGTGAGGATTCAGTTTGATGGCATCTGTGAATAAGTCAATGGCTTTCTGAAGCTCACCTTCATTTAGGGCATCAGTGGCAGCCACTTTCTTCTCATTTGCCTCATCCATTTCTACATTTCATTAATTATTCATTATACAATATATTCATTAATGATACATATCATTATCTCTACATTTTCATCTCCCATTTCCTGAGGGGCATCAGTGTCTGGTTCAATCACACCTTCATTATCAATTTCTAAATTATTTTCCTCACTTGATGGCTCATCTGTCTTTAGGTCTTCCTCTGGCTTCTTGCTTTCTGCTTTTTCTTCCTTGGCATTGTCTTCTGATTTAGCTTTATGAGTAGCAGGTGGTATTTTACCACCTATGCTCTCCACCCACTCCTTCAGGAATCGCATTTCCTTGCTGTGAACGCTCGGATCCTGCTTACACATCTTGATGAACGCCCAAAGCTTGCTAACTTTGCAGGGATCCATGATCCGCAGGCGGCGGGAGGTGGAGGTCTCTGCAGCGACTAAGTGAATACTATCTAAAAAAGCAGTGGTGACTGTACACATGGACCTAAACAAATGGAATACATAACAATCAGATCAACAATGACATCTTTGGAAAGAAACTGTGGAGAAATTTAATATCAGTCAGAACAAGGCCTGGGACTAACTGTGGAAAAGACAATCAATTGCTTATATGCAACTTCATATTGAAGCTGAAGGAAATTAAGTCTATGAAAGACAAAATACAACTCTTAGCACATGCCACCTAAATTAAAAACCATATGAAGAATATATCTGAAGTATTGACTACATACGACTGCAGACAAGGTAAGGTACATGAGCAAATCAAGGGCTTTATACATGAAAAAAAGCAAAAGATCACTTTAAAATGGGGAAAAAAGAAAAGAACAAACAACGTGTCAGAAGTGACTTTGAAACTTTTGTTAGAATCTAGAGAAGCTAAAACTAAAGGAAGAAATGATGCAATAAGAGCTGAACAGATTTCAAAGGGCAGTTCAAGAAGACAAAGTTGACTATTATAACAAAATGTGCAAAGACCTGGAGCTAAAAAAATAAAAAGAGGAAAGAAAAGTGACATTTCTAAAACTAAAAGAACTGAAGAAAAGACTCAGGTCTTGAATTTCAGTGCTGAAAGCATCTTTGGACAAAATATTGAATAACTTCGGAAGCATAAAAAAATGGTGGAGGGAATGCACAAATTTACTGTACCAAAAAGAATTAGTTTACAGTGCACATTTTTTGTTGTTGCATCCCTGTGAACAGATCTGAATGAACCCTGCCCAACCCTGCCCATGTTATCATCACTGACACACTTGATCCCATTGCAGTAGTTATTGTATCAATCCATGTTGAGTCTTTCTCTTTTTTGCTGACCCTCAACCTTTCTTTTTTTTTTTTTTCAAATTTAAAAAGTCTTATACCAGAATAAGATGCATTTTTGAAATCAGATGCATAGGACTTGACCGGCCTCATTTCTGCAGCTAGAAAACTCCTAGCTTATCAGCCTGCTGAACAGTTCCTTTTTCAGAAACATAGATACCATCCAAAATTTTTCGCATATCCTTGTTTTTAACTGTTGTAGCTTGCTGAATCAAAGCAGCTGAATTTGATACAACTCAATGTCATTTCCTTCAAGAATTAACTCATCTTCCTGGGCTTGAGATAGTGAACATGCAACACCTGGTCTCATTCAAACTCTCCGAATGTATTTTTCACACAAGAAGTTTGAATTTCAACCAGAGATCCATTTTCTTGAATCACCATGTAGATGGGGAAATGAGCATACACAGACCTCATCTTGTCATGAAAGCCCAGTGTAACAACCTTGATCATGTTCTGTACTTTGCTACAGATGGTGTGAACAATAGTCAGTTCCTTCCTGTTTCCCCACCATTTGTCAACACGAAGCCTCTTCTTTTTCTTTCTGAGGAGACTGAGCCCTACATTGATGTGATTGAAGTCCCTCCGCAAGGTTCCTTGTGGGCCTTTCACGATAACTGTGCGATAACATTCTCTGGCATGTCGACAGTCTGGTTGCTGAGAATGGTCTTCATTCTTGCAGTTAA